CATTTCCCATAAAAGCATGATGACAAGAAATAGTCCCACATACTAAGACCAACATTTGATACCCAGATACCAAAAAAAAAGCCATGTTAAACTTGGAACTTTCTCTACTTCTTCTAGTTTCAAGTGCCTTCCTTCTTTCCTGTTCTTAAGCCCCCTGCAATCATATCATTTTTAAAAAAGGAACTACAATAAGCAGTCAATTAGATAATATTTAAATATCAGTTTCATTTTTCTAACTAAGCAAAATATCAAAATGCTCCTTAATGTTATCATTCAGAAACTTATAAAACATATGATAAACTGGGAGAATACTAAACCATGTTTAAAGTAACATTGGATAGCTCCAAAGATCATAATTATAATTTTTGCACAGACATGTATAATTGGAATTTACGACACTGAAATACACCACAAAGTCAAGAGAACTACATTTGAGGTTTTTGCATGATAGTTGATTCAGGGCCACAACTGTATGATTGCTTGGCTTATGATCTTTCTTATCTATAAATTTATTTAATACCTATTTAAAGACCTGAAAACTTATGAAAGATGCCAGCTAATAAAACTCCCAGGGGAGTTTTAATTATACTAATGATGTCCAAAGTATCAACTACGAATTTCCCAAAGTCCTAGAAGTTATGGAGGTAGATAGGAAACTAATCAAGCATGATGCACTAAATTGCTTATAACCTTCTCCTTCCTCCTCCTCCTTATCCCATCCTCCTCCATTTTCTTACATTTATTAATTAAAGTAGAGCTAATGACTCCATCCTAATGCGCTTGTAAATCCTGTATTGTATATGTGACGAGTGTTGCCACATGAAAGTACAATACATAATACTCTAAATAGGAAAATAAGCTCAAGGGAGATTTTGCAGGGATGATCATGAATCTTGTTTTTCTCAAAAGTTATCAGATGTCTAATGTTAGCCCTGACATTTTAATGCCGAGGTTCACCGCAAATAAGTCCTTCCGCCAATGTTTATATGAAAAGATTGCACACTGTCCTTCCTCATTTCAACAGCAAAAGCCCAATATGCCAAATGCCCATTATTCTTTACTCTGTATACAGCTGGTCTTAAGCATGGGCTTGTGTTTTGGACTTCCCTATGTCTAAATCAACCAAAGAAAGATTCAGAAACTGTTCTACAAAAGCAACCACTGAGAACAGTAAAGACCATTATTTCCTCTCCCACTGCTGGCAGAGGTCAGCATCCCTGTCATTAGCCATGTCATAACATAATTGTATTACTACTCCTTATGTGGGCAGATACTGAGCAATAACTGAACACATCACATCATTGCAAAAATGAAAAATTGCCATTTCTTTGTCCCAATTTAGCATAAAATCAGTGAAAACAATCTTCAGAAATGACATTGCACTAAGAAACTGAAAGGAACTGTTATTACTCGGTAGGTTATATTTAAACTGATGCTCTGACATCCTCAACTAGAACAAAAAATGGGGCTGTATTTTACAACTGAACTCCAATGGTGAGCTCCTGCAATCCAATTTATTTGTGTAACATTCAGTTCAATGAAGGGATACAATGTTACTTAAAATAGTCTTAATTAGATGAAGCACGACTGTGGTACCCATCTCTCAATGTGTGAAATATTACCCTGCTTTAAGTTACAAGAGGTGGAGTCTGGGGCTTGCAGCCTGCATGCTTCTGTCCAGTCTATGAGCTACACTGCATTTCAAAGGCTGACCTATATACAGCAACAGCCAGCCGTCCTGGCTGTTTGTGTAAGAGATGCCTCGCACAGTTGCCATAACCAATATCACTGGCATTGTTCTCACTTTCTCCGGCAATGGGCTATGTAAAAATGGAGGCCAGTTTGCACAGTGATGTGTTCCTAACGTAATGCGCTTTTGCAACAGAGCGATGCAAGATTAAACTGTTTCCACAAAAATTCCTCCTACAGAGTTTATTAACTGAAAAATATAAAGAGGTATTTTGGCAATCTACAGAGCAGCAGTGCTAGAAAGTGTTAGCGGAGTAAAACCACCACACGTGAGTTTAGAAAAGCTTCAGGAAGTGGATATTCATTTTCTCTATTAGGGGGTCTTCTGACACTGAAAAAATGGCATCAGGGAAACTAGTTACAACTGCATGATGCTGAAGCAGGGGAGGATACTAGTTCTGCTGGGATTTTGCGCACCAACTTTAAGTAAAGTGTTGACAGATTTAAAATAAAGATAATTAGTAATTTATGATCGTATCACCCTATTAAAAACACATAACCTGACAAAGTGACTGTTTCTTGTAATGAACTGCATACTCACTGCACCTCTGAAAGATACAAGGTTTACACTGCAGTCTTGTCTCTTTAAGGAAGTCTGCTTCAAACTTGTTTTTACTAAACGTAGACACAGATTTCTTATTTCATCTCTTCCAAACTTCTGCCCATCCCTCAGAGCCTTGCCAATCCACTCAAGCCATTGCAAAAAATGAAGCTAGTTGACTACATTAGAAGTAATTAAAAATGTGGAACGGGACAGAAATTTTGTACCAATGGTAATCATGATGGAGTAGGAAATACTATGCCGGGGCTTTCTGGGGCCTAGAAAATCTACTCAGGACATTCAATATAATCAGGGCTCAGTGACAAATGCATTTGATGGACCGCTACACAGAAAAGGGCAGGAGAAAAGGTCCTGCGAGAAACATTTCATGAAGTCTCTTCCTACTATGACAAGTACATCTTATGCCTTTGCATCCTTAAAAATCCATTATTCCCTGGATAAGTTAAATAGAAGACTGGCAACTAGTCTATAGAAAGGGTTACTAATTTGCATTTAAAAAGAACAGTTTGCTCCTCATACACAGGGTGACTGAAAAGGAACTTCAGTGAGCTGGTCAAGAAATTCTGAAGACTTTCTAAATTAATTTATTCAATTCACAGCACAACTCACTAAAATGATTTAAAGCACTTGATTAGAAAATGATTTAATATATTGGAGTAATTCTTGATTTTATAAAACATTTGGCTTTTAAATTACATTTGACCCCACTATCACAAGAGTGACGACGGAAACGTGTACCCAAGTCATTATCCTCTTTTTGGAGCCTAACATCACTGATAAACTTGATAAGATGTGTCCGGAGTCATTGCCAAAGTGGTTCTGAGTTTTTGGTTCAGTAACTACTGTGGAATATGTCTTTATTATCCAAGATAGGACTGCTACTTAATTATTATTTTGCATTCATATTAGTAAAAGCGTCCTAAGCAAAATTAAATGCTACAAACACAAAAATACTCACTCATGAGGGCAAAACAGATTTTAGAATAAAAGAACTATGTTACCAACTAATTGTGAAACTTCAGCACACAAAATTCTCTTGCCAAAGTTCCCAGTGCCTTCCAACTTGCCCCTAGCTAAAGGGGTCCCTGTGTGATGAACAGCCTTTCCGCCTTGCCCAAGACCAGATCTCCCTTGTTTCAAACTTGCTCGAACATCACAAACACAACGCTCATCCCTGTTACTGGGTCTCCCACTGTACACAGCATTGAGGAGCTTCTCCGTGGGGTGAGAGCTGTGGTTCACTTGGCTCACAGCTGTGTGTGTATATGTGTGTATGTGTGTGTATGTGTGTGTGTGTGTGTGTGTGTGTGTGTGCCCATTGACCAAGTCGATTGAGTGGTGGGGAACCCGGGGGCTGAGGATGCAGCGCGCTAAATACCTGTGTATCACTGTGTGTGTGTGTGTGTGTGTGTGTCCATTGACCAAGTCGATTGAGTGTTGGGGAACCCGGGGGCTGAGGATGCAGCGCGCTAAATACCTGTGTATCACATTTTTAAAAAGCTGTTTGATGATGACTGGCCACCGGGCAAATGTTAGGGAGTCCCACCGATTTATCCAGTGGAATTCACTGAGGGGCCAACAGGGAATTGCTTGCAGGGACTGTGGTTATCGGGCAGTTTTACCACCAAGCTAGGGCTGGGCATCGAAACCACTCGCCCAGCGTTTCAGAAAACTCAGTTCTCCCCGCCGATGTCCACCCGGTGGGACAGCTGAACACGTCCAACAACCCCCAAGCAGGGAGGGCCTGGGTCCCACGGCTGCGCTCAGGAGGCCTGCCCCTCCTTGCTCTCCCTCTCAGAGCTGCGAGTTCCAGAAGCCCAGAGGGTAACCCCCTGCCCAAGCAAGCACCCTGACTTCCATCCTCGGGACCAGCGGAGCTCGGGAGAAGCTCGGGCAGACGTTCCCACCCTGAGCCACCCGCTGGGTCAGCCTCGCCCCGGCCTCCCTGTCCCCCGCGGCCTGGGTGTCTGGGGTCAAGGGGCTGTGCATACAGTCCAGCCTCGGACCCAGCTCCAGCCGCGTGCCGAGTGCGTGGGGGGGCTTTGGACGTGAACGGCAAGCGCTCGCCGGGCTCCTAACAAACTTGCCATTTCCGCGCGCACCCCCCAAGCGGAGCTGTCCCCCAGACCCGGCTCCCCAGCTGCACCCCGGCCCGCACACCGGCATCCGCACACCGGGCTCAGCCGCCCGACCGGGCTGGTGAAAGAAAACAAAAGAGTTGTGGAGCAATTTTCCCGGCGGGGGGCAGAGGTGTCTCCGGGGTCCCCGCACCCCGACTCCCGGCTGCTCCCCTGGCAACTAATCCCGATCGGGGAAGCGGTGCCCCGAGCCCCCGCTGTCTGTGAGAAGGACGTAGGTACAGAGAAGGGGAAACTGGAAAATCAACTGAATTCTCTCCGTCTGTGCCTCGGTTCCGGGACACCAGACACACCCCCAAAGTACACCGTGGTTTTCTCCTAATTTTTTTTTTTTTAAAAAAACGCCCCCCGGCAAACCTAGGCAGGGATCCTTAGTCGCGAACAGCAGGAAGGAAAAGATCCGAGCAAATCGTGTCACTTTCCGCACAATCGCTGTGCTTGACAAACCCCC